TATTTTTTTTATAGTGCCCATAGGATATACTTTACTAATTTATTACCATATAGATAATGTTTTATGAACCGTGTTATTTATGTTCCAATATATATTTTACAATACTAAAACGATTCATTTTAATGCTCCTTTTAAAAGCAACGATTGTTTGAAAATTGTTCATTTTAAACGACTTTATCAAAGGATATGCCAATGGCATATTCTTCTTTGATGTCACAATGATACGTCACGTATAGTGTGTTTTGATTCAAATCAATCCAAATATAGTGTATGATTAATTAGTATTTTCATTATCTACTGTAATTAAGACTATATTAGATGTGACTAATTGCAGTATTACGATAAGGTTTTGTTTGATGATATTTAGGTACTCATAGTCGCTCTGCAAAATATTCAAAATCGATTATCATTTTGGGTATTGTTCATTACCTAACATTTATTATTACCTACCTTAGAAAACCGACGTGACATGCCGTTACCGGACTATGTTTTGTCTTATTTTACTGAAATGGTTATACCTAGCTACCCCGAAGTTGATCCCACAAAATTTGGGAATAAAACCTAGGCTTTGGAATAGGAATGATTTACTACAAAATAGTTACCTAATGAAGATATTTTTTGCTTGACATATTAGGCTTTACCCCACTCTAGAATTTTCTCCTGTGTCATTAGTGAGTTTACAGACATAATATTACACACACATGACATCCAGACCCGAAACAACAATTTGTGGATCACACAAAGAGTTACTCCCTACGGGAATTGGACCCGCTACACGTTGCGCGGTAGCCATTTGTCCAGCCACCGCATGTACCAACGGAGCAGTCTAATAAAAAAGGTTTAAATGTACGACTTAACTAATAACAAAACTTGTCTTCTATCGTGAGCCAATGATTAGCAATCAGCAAGCTTTTAATGGTGACTGATTACTATCAATTATTGATAATAATCACGTGTCATATTTATATAGATAGCGTTATGATACCTAGGTAGACTCTTTTACCTACATTAATTATTATGATCGACACGGTGTCTTCTATATATAAGTCGTGACATGATCTTAAATTATAATCCTACTAATATTATAAACTAGCTTCTGCCCGCGACTTCGTACGCGCAATCCCATTTCCCCCCCGTTCCCGTTCGTGATTTTCTGTAAAATTAAAAAAAAAACAAATTTATATAAAAGGTATCCTATGTCCGTCTCCTGGTTCTAAGCTACCTCCCTGCCAATTTTCATCCAAATCGATTTAGTCGTTCTTGAGTTATAAATAGTGTAACTAACACGACTTTCTTTTATATATATAGATGTGAAAGTTTGTGACGATCTATGGATATGTATATCGCTTATACCACGGGGAGTGTTCTGAAGAATTGTTTGACTTGATACCTGCCGCATCTTTTCGCCATCGACACTCACGACAGCATATGCAATTATGCATCCCCATCATATATGTAGATGGTTGGCAGGCCACAACATTTAATTCCTTTATTATTAGTTTTATCTAGTAATCTGGTAAACAAATGATGCCCTTATCGTACAAAGCGATCTCATTCAGACAACCTTTGCATGAACCTTAAAAAATAAATCAAACATCGAGTTCATATAAAGAATAAACGAAAATCGACGTGAAGCACGTTGTGTTTCGTCGTGTGTGTGAGGTTACCGGAGGCACAATTACCCTCCCCTTCCCCAATCTCCCCAATTCCTGAATCCCCAACGATCCTCAAACTCCCAATCCCCAAAAGACCGGTAACGCACTTGTAACGCCTCTGGTGTTCCAGGTGTCAATGGGCGACGCCGATTACTTACCATGAGGTGATGCGTCTGCTCGTTTACCGGCTTAAATATGCTATAAAAATATAAGTCGTCCAAATAGGTACGAGTACCTACTTTATTAGGTACCGTATAAACTTGTACGCAATTCTCGATCACAAAAATATCCAAATTATAAATGTTCAACATGACTTTTTTATTACAAAACAACTCTTTAATGGCTACATAGCTACCATTTTAATATTTATTTATAACAAGCATAATTATACGCATATCTGTCATTTGTAAATAAAACAATAAAACTATTTATGATTGGCAATTGTTAATTTATTACCACACATCACTTTTACAACTATAATTTTATGTAGATTAGATACTGGTTACTTGTAGGCGAATTTTTCCATCAATTTTATAGAGGGCTATAATGTTTTTTATTTGTATTGACGTACGGGAGGTAGGAATTGTTATCGGTCTTCTAGCAGTCGTGATTAATGAGAACTTTCTAGAATATAAAGATTTGTTGTTAGCTATTTCAACACATACAAAAATATAATTATCATCCTCATCATCATTTTTTAGGGACAACCGCTGTAACTCCTGTAAGCCAGGATCTACAGTAGATACAACCACGAAAACACCGGCACACTGAAGTCCAGCGCGTCCCAGGGACATGAGTAACTGTCTTCGTTCCCGCAACGAAGTGAATCAGAAGATATTGTAAGAGGTGAAGAAAAAAACGATCATCATCATCAGCCACTGCGGACATAAATATCTCTTAAGTGGGGTTTTCTTTGTCAGGGAGGAAGCGGGGCGCGTGAGGGGACAAAACTCTTCACGCCCCAACCTTTGCTGGAGATACTCCGGGCGTCAAAGATCGCACGACGAGCTCCGGCCACCGTAAGTGCGAGTCTGCAAGCAAGGGTAGCTCGCCGCCCGACCAGAACCACAGTCGTGCGTACAGTGCGTCGCATTTCGCGCCCGCCTCAAAGAGCCATCAGACCACCACAGATGGGGACCAATCAGGCTGACGCCCTATATATATAGTAGGAACGGGGTGGTTTTTAGTCGGTAAGAGTCTGACACTCTCTCTCGCCTAACCCAAGTCATTAGATGATTTTACCAACCCAAAAAATTTGGGGTTTTCTGTAATCTCCACACAATGTTATTGACCCGAGTAATACCACGGCTACATAAATCTCAAACAGCGTGAAACAACGCTTGCATTGGATTCTGCCTAATGAGGTTACAGGAGGCACAACTCACTCGTATCGTGGGCGTTCATGGGCAGGTAGCATGTAGTCTCTACCACATTTGCGGCCTTATACCATAATAAAAGGTTACCAAAAAACTTAGATACCTGAGCGACAGAGCAGCAATTTCGGTTTTCGGTACTAAAATAACAGATTTTGACCGATTAAACCTAGACTATTCTTATCGGTCCTAGCAAAAAAAACACGTGACCTATCCAAATAACAAAATCTGATGTTACGGCACAAAATAACATTTATAATACCCTACCTACAATCTATGTTTTTCTAACGATAATAAAGCCATAAAGATTAGTTATAGCGTATGAATTAGAAACAATATTAGAGGATTTTCCTTCACTCTATCAAGGGACATAAATTATAAATTGATTAGACACGGCTTAACTTTTTGACGTTAAAAGTAATCCGTTGTTGTAGCTGGGGGCTTTAGGATAACTTATCTAGGAATAATAGAAATCATGCTAGCCTTAATCAATGGTTTATCAAGTACGCAAATTGTTTAGTAGGTGCTAATGAATTTTCTATGTAATGGGTGCGGTTATTTAACAAAGAAATAGTAAACATCGTCATAAAAAACATGGTTTTATATCGCTTGCTAAGTTACTACGCAGCGCTCAAATGAATAGAAAACAAAGTCCATAAGTCTTTATATAATTTAAACCCGAAGTTCTATAAGAATTAGCAGTCTAGAAAACCTATAAATAGTATACATAATACAATTCTAAAAAGGTATTTTCAAAATGTAAGAATTAAAAAGTAACTTTCAAATCTTCTGAGCCGAAGACAAAAGAATAAAATAGGTACATTTATCGCCATCCATGCACCTCCTCCTGCGGGTGTAGATTAAGGAACCACACATTTAATAGAGATGGCCAGCAGCTCCCTGATAAACCTGAACCTTTTAAAATTCGTTCTCCAACTCGCCTGGTAAACGTGACGACTATTGCAAGCTCGTTTTTTTGTAAAGGCCTATACTCTACTGGACTTTTTTTATGGCATAAGCCGGTAAACGAGCAGACGGATCACCTGATGGTAAGCAATCGGCGTTGCCCATGGACACCTGGAACACCAGAGGCGTTACAAGTGCGTTACCGGCTTTTTGGGGATTAGTAGTTTGAAGATCGTTGGGGATTCAGGAATTGGGAGATTAGGGAAAATTAGGGTAATTGGGCCTCTTGTAACCTCACTCACACGACGAAACACAACGCAAGCGTTGCTTCACGTCAGTTATCTGTGAGGCCGTGGTATCACTCCGGTCTAGCCGGCCCATTCGTGCCGAAGCATGGCTCTCCGACACTTAATTTTAACTATGAAGTGTTCCATTGCCCACTCACTATTAAATAATGTAGTCCCTTTATTAGCTCTTGCACTTGAGTAGGGATAGTGACAATTAATGTATTGTATTCTTCCGTCTGTCCATCACAACATGAATCAAAAAGTATAACAAAGGTACAATTGACATCATCAAAATTCCGCTTCGCCCCGTCACTACACTTCCTAATGACAGGCACAGCTTACCTCATTTATCAACTTGTAACGCAACAACCCTTGTTTAGAATATAAACATAATGAACAACAATATGAACAAACAAACAAACCTTTCATACAAATAAGATAGATGCTGCACAGGCAAAGCCATTTTGTCATAGACGTAGACACAAGAAGTTATCTAGGAAATTAATTATAAAGTGGTTAATGATAAAACAGGAGAAAAATATATTCAAAACTAGACGAAAAAGTTGACAGTGAAAACCAATCCGTGTTTTAAACTAGATCAGCTAGTTTGAAGACTTTTTTCAAAGATAAATTGATTAAATACTATTACAAAACGAATTAAGAACAATTCATAATTGCTGGTACAAACGACTACGAAACTCAAACCCGCAAGTCAGAACAAACAATTTAAAACAAAACAGTAGTTTACGTTACGATAATAAACGGTAATACTACAGAAAATGAACAAAAACGTCTTCCTATTAACGTTCCTACTCCACATGAGTCACGTGTTTTATTGCATCGAGGATCCAGATAGAATAGATGTTGTGGATATGACCAAGCCCACGACTTGGCGGGACCTGGCCTTATATTACGGTGCTGTGGAAAAACATTGGTAAGTCAAATAGTTAAGGTATTAATTGTTTTGTAGTTATTGGGCTAGAAAAAGTACATAAGGAAACCGTCCCATCCACAAATTGAGACGAAATTTAAACAGAAAGTTGTGGAAATTCATTTTCTTTTATCATGTCACAAATGATGTCTGTGGTACACCATTTACTTTCCAAAATATTTCCTAATAACAAAATGAAGCTAGAATAAAATAAGTTCCATGTTTGCTCAAAATACTGAGTGTGATTATTGTTTCATATACCTACTTAGACAAAATATTTTGAATACGTTTGTTTTATTTCCTTCTAGGAAGATGTGCATCAACTGCGGAGTACCAGACTTGGGCACTGGAATACATCTGGAACACACTGGTAGCACAGGATCCATGCACCCTGCTGTCATACCTTCAGAATACCTGTTAAGTCGACGTAAGTAATCGTTCTTATTTTGCAGCTATTTCGTTCTATTACATACAATAACCCTTACATCAGACAATATCAATGGCCAAACGGATAGATTTATTTTGATGAAACTACATATACTTAATTAAAAGGTAATTAGAGTAACGTAGCACCCAAACTAACCCTTTACTGGTACTATTAGGTGTCGCTCTTAGGTTGGTGAAAATCAAATTTTCGTTTAATGTCACCTATCTTAGCTTAAGGGTTCTCTAAAATTTGCAAAACGACCAGAGTTTGGCTTAAATGCCGTGACCTGAACGCAATAGGTCGAATCTCTATGTTCTCTATGTCGGGAGGTAGTGCACATTACGGCACTTAATCAAACTATACAATGTTACACCCATTTTACAGTATTTATGTTATGAGTCCCATGTAACAGGGAGTGAGCTTATTGCCATGTACCGGGCACAATTCCAGACTCCGTGCTATTATTGATATGTTTTTTCAAAACCTATCAGTTGCCTGAACCGGGAATCAAACCTGAGACTCACCCGTTGCCCGTCCGGCTCGCACTTGCGACCACTCGGCCAGCGAAGCAGTTGAAAAATTAAACTAATTACAAAAGCCTTTCTTTTACAGTGTCAATAGTGGACGTAAGTACACTAACTACCCTGAACCCCTCAGTGGTTCTAACCCTGGACGTGGCACTGCAATGGGCAGCATTGAAGCATGACCCCAAGGAACCAACGCTGCTGCTCTTCAAGTTCGGATGGACGGAAGAAGACAACAGCCGGATCAATGTTGGTGCCTGCGTTTGTAAAGTACCTGGTGAGTGATGTATTTTGAATATCAATTGGTTATTGTTGACTTCAGTTTTAATAATCCGGAACTGGTAATGGAGATGCGTAACTTTTGTTACAAAATTGCATTTTTTTATTTTATACCACGACATAAAAGCACACGGGCCACCTGATGGTAAGCGGTTACCGTGGCCTATGTACGCTTGCAACACTTGGGGCATTACATGGGCCTTGCTGACCCTTAAGAAACCTATTCACTGGGGAGTGAATAGGTTTCTTCAAGAGGGCTTAGGCTACAAGAGGGGCCTTGAAGACCGTGTTGGAAGGCCGTGTTGTGGCCCACTGAGAAAACCACAGCAGGGAATTCTATCCACAATCGAACGGTCCGTGTGAGGAGTAAGGGTCTAATTTTAATAATACCAAATGTTGGTTGCAGTTGCATTTGAGGTGACTAAACAAATGAGACTATTCTGTGTACTCCACAGTAATTTACATGGCGTTCCATTTCATTTTAAAAGCAGTACCATACCTAACTTCATTATGTTTTAATTTGCTACTTAAAAATTAGACAGAGATTTGTAAAACACAGGTTTGATCTAAAAAGCGTCATAATATATTATGAAATTGTAATGCTTATTAAACAAATGTGTAAATGTAAATGTGTGTATGCCCTTATCGTTCCCATGATTTGACTAAACTTTTGATAAGGCACTGGTTACCGAAAATCCCTTTAAGCCCCATATCTAGCCGCAAGTCTTAATCAGATTCAGTCGAATGTCGACATGTAAATGACAGAAATTAGTGTTTTATTTATTGTGAGGATTATCAGCCCTCCACCGACATTCTTGGGGTATTATTGGATTTTCAACCACGTAGGTATGACGGACATGCATAAGTTAGTCATGCATTTGTCCCGCGTCGTGTCGTCGCGAAGATGTGAAAGAAGGTCATGTCTTCATAACAAGACTTGTTCAAAATATCCTCAAATCCCGAATCCTAAAATAGGCCGGTAAAGCACTACTTACTCCTCTGATAATTCGAATGTCCATGGGAGGCACCGATTGCTTGGTGATCCATCTGCTCATTTGGCGGCTATAAAAAGGATCCAGTATAATCCTTCATTAGTCTCTGCCTCCAATATCCTTGAGAGTGATGTCGATTGGAAGGCCCGTAAGATCCTCGATATAGATTAACAGGAAAGAATGCAAATAGAAAACATTTTGTGTGCAAAGAGAATAGCCAGTAACAGGGAACAGCATATTAATTTGGAATTTGATTCCTTTTTTTTTTGAAGGGGGGAAAATCATCGAATTACTGCTCCCGCCTAGGTGAGGCGGGAGGGAGTGGCAGACTCTTACTGACTAAAAACCAACCCGGTAATCCGTTAGGTTCTCCGCGACACCGAATAGGCAATTTGATTCCTTACGACATAATCTATGCCCAATTTTAGGTGGGCCTTTTTTTATCATACAGTTCGACTTATATTCAGCAACTTAGCCAATATGAAACAATTAATAATTACATGAAGACATTCGTCCTTTTTACTTTTTACGTAGCCAGACATCACAGTCAATTGTAAATGTCATAACGTCACAGAAAGATTTTAATCTGCACCATGAAAAACAATCATAAATCGTAACGATAGCATATCGAACGCAATCGATTAATTGTCCGATTAATTACTTACTTACTTACATTAGGTTCATTTTGATCTTATTTCAACAGGAAAACAGTAACAATGATTTCTCGGCAAGATAGAAATTTAATCTCACAATCACTTTGATTTCTGATTGGTTATCTCATTTCTATTTTCTTTTATGCTTGCCGTTTAGACTGTGATTAAGTTTCAACTGGATTCAACTAGTTTTGGGTAGACTGAGGAAATTGAACAACGATTTCTTTACATACATGTAAAAGTTCGGCAAGATGGAATCCGATTTCCTCATCTTCGTTTTCCAAAAATTGGCAAAAGGAACCCTAACTTAAAGATCGTATATTCAGCAGTATGTAACTACCTCTACGCACCTTATTATTCTCATTAACACCCTGTTAATAAAAGGTTCAAGTTAAAGAAAATAAAAAAAATATATGTATAATCTATTCACAGTTGTTACAAATTGCTTGTTCGACAGCTTTCAGTTCACCGAATTTACTTGAGGCAGTTTTATTAGCCTTTTTTAGCTTCCTAATTTCTTTTCCAGCATCTTGATGTGCGATTAGAAAAATGGTTTTAATTTTGTTAAAAAGGCGACATCCTCATTGAGTGACCTCCTATACATATATCTTTTTTTTAAAAAAAAACCTTGTCCACACTACCTCTAGGATTATCTCTTATTATTAGGTGTTGTGGGTGCGTTTACAAACATACAAGTTCGCATACACATCACACCCAGACCCGAAACAACAATTTGTGGATCACACAAAGTGCTGTTCCATGCGGGAATGGAACCCGCGACATGTTGCACGGCAGCCGGTTGCCCAGCCACCGCACCAACCGTGCAGTCATATATCGATCAGGAAGCTAAGATTCTCCCTGTCTCAACACGCAAAAATACTTACTAAGACTATTTCGTCGAGTTGAGTCGCGGAAGGCCTAAGTCTAAGGCCTAAGGCTCCGGCTCGAAGAGCAGAAGTAAGAACGGGATGGTTTTTAGTCAGTAAGAGTCTGACACTCCCTCTCGCCTAACCCAAGGCGGAATCATTGGGTGATTTTCCTCCTCAAACAAAATACTAACTAAATCGTAGTTTCATCTGTCGGTTAGTCGGTAGGTACATTGTATATCAATCATAATTATTATTGTTTTGTTATTGTTCTGATATGATTTTGACGTGGTGTCAATGACGCTGACAATGATTAGGTATACGGCTAACGGCCAGGTGTAAAGTTACCTAAAAGCAAGTCTTCACTCGTCACTTAGCTAGCGCATAAATCAATCTTAATTATGATAAATATAACACTTGTACGCGTAAAGTTAATTGATACCTATCATGGCTGTCGGAATCAACAGACAGAATCAATCACAGTAAGGCATTTAAAACATGGCGTGAACAATTGAAATTATCTGATCAAGATTGTAAACATGTGCTATTGACTGCACCATACCTAGACATAAGAAGGTAGGTAATTAGGGGCATACCTACTCAATCGAAAGTTTAATCAATACCTATTACTTGCAACGCTAAACATTTAGGTATCAAAAAACCAGTTCGTACTGGTAGCGCACGCGTAGGTAGGTACTCAAGAAAAAGTAATGAAACGATCACGGAATATACACACACATGGACACTTTTGAGTTATTTTTCTATTTTAGCAGCTTTGCCCTGCCTTCTTTTGATCTTTTCTTGGTGTTCCCAGCACTGACAGAAACTTTAACCAATACCAAACCACTTTCTATGATGCCATAATATGACCAGGTGCTTTTTGGCAATCGTGCCTGTAATTAAACTACTCATCCTTATCAACTGTAAGACGTCCTTTGTTGAAAATGTCAACTCGAATTTTTGAATTGAGCCCAATCGCATTCTCGCTCGTCATTGGTCGAGATTATTCTCATAACCAATGACATGGTGGACCGCAACCGAGTTCACTTCGATCTTTCAAAATTGAAGGTTACAGAAAAGCCTCATCATCATCAACAGTTAAAACTGTAACTATATGTATAAACGATTCCTCTTGACTGCCTCGTTGACCGAGTGGTCTCAAGTGCGACTGCCGGGCAAGGGGTCTCGGGTTCGATTCCCGGGTCAAGCAAAGTATGACTGGGTTTTATAAAAAAATTACAGAGCCTGGAACTGTGCCCCGTATATGGCAATAGGCTCACCCGCTATTACATGGGATGCTAACATAAATAGTAAATAGTGGGTGTAACATTGTACAGTTGCATAATGTGCACCTCTGCCTACCCCTTCGAGGATTTGATACACTTTTTGACGAATTTTCAGTTAAAACCTACCTGTAGGTATCCTGTACACCTACCTATCGAATGTAGGTAACTGTACATAATTATGTATTCGACAGTTATTGGAGACTCGTCTTAAAGTCGAAGTCAACGCTAAAAAATCACGAAAATTGTATCACCCTCGAATGATAGTCGACCAAATTCATATGCATGGTGAGATAACATCATAGTGTTTCAATTACCATTTCTTGTCTTTCTTCCAGGTCTAAGCTACGAGTTAGCAGAATGGATAGCAGCGAATTTGAGCCACGTGGTTGGAGTAGCGACTGATACTCCGACCTTCGAGTCGGAGCAGACCAGGGAGTTTGCCAGTAGAACTGTCTCCAACGTACTGGGGAGGAGCGGAATTTACATGATTGAAAATGTACATTTTAGAAGGAAAATGCCAGGTGAGGCGTAAAATATTTTTCTAGGGATTTAATTTTTTCAGGTCTATCTATGAAGTTTGTTTTTTAAACTTTGCCCAGCACTTGAGTTTTCTCCTGTAATGTGACAGCGTTTACAAGCATAGAATTTCACATGCACATGACACCCATGAGACTCGGAACAACTATTTTTGGATCACTCAGTCTTGCTCCATGCGGGAATTGAACCCGCTAGACGGTGCGATTGCGAGGCAACCGGTTACCCAGCCACCGCGTCATTTATGCAGTCCTACCAAGTCTGGACTTTCTTCCTTCTTTGGTGGCTGTTAGAATATCGGTGATTGTAGTAGATTCTATGTACAACCAATAGGAACGTTTCCTTCTAGTGTTTTTTTTAATGTGGGCATTCAGTTAGAATTTGTCCAGTTTAAAATTACCTTGTTAAAGTCCCAGGGTACAGGTCGTTTTCAATCGGCCTATCTGGAAGTCATTGGGGGAGGCCTTTTGTCAGCAGTGGATGTTTTCTGACTGATATGATGAACATGATGATGAAATACCCCCATATCGTTTTAAACAGTTTAAAACTTAATCAAAAGTTATCAATTACTTATTTGTTACGTGTACCTTAACACGCAGGTGGCGAATACGTAAGGGGGGTATTAAGATAAAAATCATGAATTACTCATTTTTGTTTTGATCGATATCTTCAAAATCCATTCAGACATAAGTTTGAAAAAATGGCGTGATTATTAGCTGTTAATATCTACACATAGACATAATTATGTGACCCAACTGTACAACTGATCCATCCCCAACCGGTCACCGGTCCGCGCGCGTTTTAAAGAGCCATCAGACCACCAAAGATGCGGCCCAGTAGGGCTGATGCCCGATACGGAGCCGCGGAAGGCCTAACGGGTTGCCGGGGCTCCGGCTCGAAGTGCAGGAGTAGGAACGGGGTGGTTTTTAGTCAGTAAGAATCTGACACTCTCTCCCGCTCACCCAAGGCCGAGTGTCATTGTATGATTTTCCCCCTCAAAAGAAAAAAAGCGGTCACCTGTAACCGCTCTCCACTATCTCCATTATAGACCTTATGTTTAGGGCCGATGCCGATTCCGAGTTGCGGATAACCTAACGGGTAACCGGAGCTCCGGCTCGACGTGCAGGAGAAGGAACGGGGTGGTTTTTAGTCAGTAAGAGTCTGACACTCCCTCCCGCCTCACCCAGGCGGGAGCAGTCATTCGATGATTTCCCCCCTTAAAAAAAGACCTTATGTTTGATGTTTAGAGACTACTTATGTATGAACAAATTTTATCAAGTGATTCAGGACCTATATTTTCTGGGACAAGCCTGACACACATACCCAACCATTAGAATGTTTATAATTCTAAAATTCTGTAATCTACCAGACGGATATTAAAATAAAATTTAGGATACTACGTTGTTGGAGGGAAAAAGCATACCTGCTAACTTATTCTTTGTTTTCTTTTTCAGAACAAGGCTGTATGGCCCTAGCTATGCCGCTAAAACTCCTAAACGCGCCCTACGTGCCTACTCGACTAACAGCATTCTGCCCTTCAACAAAATCAGACCTACACGTCGTGATGGCCCTTAAGAAAGAAGTTCCTGCTCAAACTAGGCTGCCTAACAGCAGAGTTTACGATGTCAACCTAGATGAAATATTAAGCTAAAATGGTAAAAATCAAGGTTGAAAATTATTATTCTAAAATAATAGATATTTACGTAATTAACTAAAAATCGCGGGTTACTCACGTGAATATACTGAGAAAAGCTCTACAAGTTAGCCTACTGGCTGCGCGACATCGCCGCGAACGCGCACGCTGCTCATGAGGAAGAACCCCTATGTGGTTCGAAACTAGTAGAGCTTTTCTCAGTATATTCACGTGAGTAACACGCGATTTTTAGTTAATTTAGTATGTCTCACGATAGTTATTAAAAAACAGATCTTTACGTATTTAATTGTTGTATTTGTTCGTGCAATAGAAGATCAAAATCGGCAAATTCATAGCTAAAGACTTATTGTTTCGAAAGTAGAAATTTATTTATTAATCTGTAAACCTTTGGAACTGAGATTTGTATACGTTTCCTTTATATATACTACTGTAAGACATTCGATTCTATTACAAAAGCATTAAAGTTCACAATGGTGGCTTCATTATCGTGCTGTCTGGATGGTTTTATTGTAGTTTTTAGTGTGTGAGGTCTTATTCAAGCAATTAATGTCGCTGCCAAAAATAATATTCAGAAAATTTCCAAATATTATTTTGGATAAAAAACTTACTACTTAGTGCCCTTGAGGATAATTCTGTTGTTATAGCTCTCAAACTTGTGCTTTTCATACAAAATATTGTTTCAGTCATTAATAGGTATCGTAAAATGGGGTGAATAGAATTCGAGGGCTGAATAGATACAGGAATGGGTTGAACATTTTCTCAATATTTATTCATCCCTCTTCTGTACCTGTTCACCCTTCTTCTGTGTATATTCACCCCTCGAATTTTATTCACCCTGCTTTACCGTACAGTGTCTTCTTATCTTTGGAAGTTATTTTAGCATAGGTACCCTGACATCTGAAAATCTTATACCATTAGCTCAGGAAAATACAGTGTGAATGAAATAAATAAATTTGCCTATTGCCTGAAAATAGGCACACCATTAAAACACGTTAAAAATTATTTTTAAAGAATTATAGACCTTAAGCAGCTTGTTACAGAGAATGTATTATGTTGTGTTGACATTAGCCACATCAAAATGTTAAATTTTGTTATGTTTCATTTTTATTTGTTTTATTTAAAATACTATTAAAATATTTCATAAATTGTATGTGTTTTAAATTAAGAACGTTATGTTAATTAAAGCCAGTTAAAAATGTTACCACAAATAAAAAACCGCATAGAATAAATAAGCTTTATTTTTGGCCAAACTATTACATTGCATAAACCTTTACATATCTATTGAAATAAATATCATTACTACATATTAACAAATTATGTAATATAAGAAAAATATAGCACGAACTAATAGGTACTTTGGTGCCAACATTTGATCAAATAGTTCAAACAATGGGTCCAATCTACGTTCAGATAAAATGCAAAGTATGATTTTATTATAAAATGGATAATTATGTCTAAAAATTTTATAAAACGGAAGCCTTATATTTAGGGAAGAGCACCCAGGATTAGTACTGAAGCACCCTATCTTTTGACGCTAAGCAATACTTTTGTTCGACTTTTATATGCCCTTGATAGCTTACTAGCCCTTCCTGCCTTCAACGCTTGCAAACACTGATGTCACATTATAGCAACAAGCTACATTTTAATATATTTTTAATCCCCAAATGTACATATTTTAATAATATTCCGTGTATGATTGTGACATTTGGCAGTATATATTTCTTTTTTTTAGAATACCAACACTTCTTTCCAAACCTTCCAAATTCAAATTTTCAAACCGTAGTAGGAAACATATTTCAATTTGAAAAATGTACTTTACTTCAAACGTCTTAAAGTCTAATTTACTCTATTAGGGGAACATACATAATACTTTTCTTTTAATATATTATTGCCATGGTTTCACTGGCACTGCTCATAACATTAAGAAGCAATATTTGAAATATTAAAAATAGATTTTCTTTGAATTGGTGCACATATACCCTTATATATTTTATAATACTATATTTTGGTACTTACATGATTCTCTACAGAACTGTGACCTTCATTATAATAAAAGGTTTATATTAAAAGAAATGTATAAAATATAAATTGAGACAATATCTATTTAAAACTATTTTAAAGTTTGGCAACCCTATTCTGATTATTACGTCAAGACGTGCAGTGTTGCCGACAAAATAAAACCTCAAACAAGCAGAAGAGAAAAAAGAAGACAGATTAAAAAAATAAAATACATCATAGACAATTTTATATTTTATTTAAAATAAAAATAAAAGTATACATGATACATTTTGGAATCGGACCTTTTAACACCAAATGAATAGCAACACAGCAGTATTATTTTCATCTTACAACCCTTAACAGGATTCTAAAGGCGGGACAAGCCATTAATGTCCATTATACAAAATTTTAGTTACACATAGATAATACTGCGTAAATTTTAATTCAATCAGAATAGAGTCTTAATATCTATAGCTATTGGTATTTATAATCTACGGAAACTAATGACACCAAAATTGTTAGCTTGGCCCAAAAATGCTTGTAGGAATGCCGGTGTAAGCATACAGTGCCGACTAAAGGATGACAGTGAACTGACTTAAGATATTCCATAGAATCGCCAGTTGTCACGACAAATTGCATTGACCACAACTAAATTAACGATAAGCTAATAATTACAATCTAAATATAATATTGCTACATCTTTTAATTTGTAACATACGAAAAATTGTGGAAATACATTGCATTTTTTTTGTATTACAAACTACGAATTATTTTATAAATAGAAACTGTATTCAAAAATACTGGCAACACTGTGGTTTATCACGAGATTTTGATAGTTGTAGTGATGTGACACGATAAACCATAGTGTGACCGCTAGTTCATACAGATTATATATGAAACTCTATGAAATTTTAAGGCTATAAATATCGGTAAGTATATTTCTAAAATTGAATTTATTATCAAGGTCTGTCATTACGTTTTCTATTATCACTGGATAGCTAACTTTAGTAAAAATCTGTATGAAAGTACATACGATAGGAAATAAAATCATCACGATTATAATAATCACATAATTATATATTTTGTTATGTATAGGTAGGTATTACTAATGACTCGGCTTCGTCAAATAGTTGGCGGACCACGAATAAAAGGGTTATTTAGAAAAAGTTCATCCTTTTTCATGTCCGAGTTGAACATATCACATTCAAAGTTAAGATGCGATACATTTGTACATTCAATTATATTTGTATGAAAAAGTATGAAAATATACTTCTATTAGTTGTGATAACATCGCAATTTAACAATCTACACCAACTATTTAATATCACCTCGATACAATCTAAAAATGTCTTGTGATTTCTCGAACTTTCTATCGCGTTCCCGATTTCTGTTTGACGAAGCGTTTATACTAATTTGTCAATAGGTTTTCTCAGTCAGCCACCATTATCGACACTTGCAACTGAGTCGGGCTCGACAAGACCACCGCATAAATATTTACTGTGCGTTTTGTAGTACTTTTCAATTAATTTTTCATATTATTAAATTTCATAGTACTTGAAATGAATGATTTAATCGATACAGATATTTTAGTAACATATGTCACATCCACATCACTAGTTTCCCGCCAAATCTCGTCCGCCATATTGGAAATTGCACACGATTAAAATAAAATTGAACTTCACTGAATACATCTCATTGTTCGCTATGCCTGAGGTATAAAACTAGGTTTTTCCTCCACTAGAGAGTGTAATATACCGATACTTATGGCACAGAGTAATCTAAGAACAGAGCCCAACCCAGTCGGTCTTTTCATAAAAATAATACAGCCAAGCTTAATCCTTCCAATCCTTTTTGATGTCAAAGCACCATTCCCACTGCAAGTGAACGTTTTTGTCGTCATCAGTGAAGAGGCTATTGACGGAGTACGAACCTCTTGCGACCATCCCAGAGGGCGCGTCTTCTGGGGGAGTTGTGTACGACTGGATCTCAGTTTTTGGCGGGTACGAGCCAACCATGTGGGTCATTTTGTCCACTGAAATTGAGAGAAACTTGGTCAAAATATTTGTTAAACACTTTTATTAGTAGTCAATTATCAATCATACAAAAGTTAAGGTAAAAATAAAATAATGCATGATGCCTATGTATTGTTGTTCAACATTTAAATAGGCACAGGAATTAACTTAACATGTCTTTTGTCAAAAGCAGAGAACAGCCAAACAAGGCGGTACAGAATCTAAACCTCATCGAAAAACTAACATAACATCACGCCTTTTATCCCCTAAGGTGTAGGCAGAGGTGCACATTATGCCACTGTACAATGTAACAGCCCCTTTACACTATTAGTGTTATGAGTCCCATGTAATAGGGGGTGAGATCGAAAAACTAATTTAGAGGTAAATAAAACACCGTTTTAACCCGTCGAGCGTCCGCGTTCCTTATGATCCAACGGGTGCACACGTGACATTTAGAGCATTTTTTCTTATGATCCACCAGGTGCTCATAAGGACGCTCGAGGGGTTAATTCCAATATGTCCACAAAACGTTGAACAACTTAGGGCAAAATATACCACAATACACATACAACACAGCTCGAAAAACGACATCAAACTCAACAAACCCACTTGCAAAATTAATTACAGATTCTTCGCCGTTCAACAATATGAAATGTCATTATGACTATGCGAAACCCGTATTCCATATTCCTCGTCCTTAGAACAATAATATCAATGATAATTATATGAACAACAATCATGGCGAGAGGTGTTGTCTAAAGCACTGCACTTGTACAACTTGCTAGTTTGTAAAGGTGGGTAAGAATAATTTATGAAGCTATCGATTACAACTTTCTAGAAGGGTATGGTCAGTCTATTATAGTCTGTGTTATTGATTTCCTGTGTGTTTAGTACTTGGTTGAATGTTGTTTTTATTTTGAAGGTCGGCTTACATATAACGCTTTTTAATCCTTGAAAGAATTGGCAGAAGTGTCTACATTGAAACACTTACTGTTTACCAATTATCTTAGGAGTCCCATGTAATAAATAGGGGTCCCTTATACTGCCTGTAAGATCGTCATGTTACATTGTAACGTACTACGATGTCTGTCCATTCAGGAATGTAAAGGCCTGCCGTTTATCTGCATCATAGTTAGTGAGCCCACTTAGAAGCATAATATTAACATACATACATAACATCACGCCTTTTATCCCCGAAAGGGTAGGCAGAGGTGCACATTACGTCATTTAATGCTACTGTACAATGTAATACCCACTTTTAACTATTCATGTTAGGAGTCTCTTATGTTAGAGAGTGAGAGGTTATTGTATTGCCATATACCGGACACAATTCCAGACTTCGTGCCAGACTGAGAACATTTTAAAAACCCCAGTAATACTTTGCCCGACCTGGGAATCGAACCCGAGACCCCTTGCCCGGCAATCGCACTTGCGACCACTCGGCCAACAAGGTAGCATAATATTAACAGTGAGCCAGTAATTAACTTCAAGGCTAACTTTATCACAGTCAGACTACTAGAGAAGAAGACCCCTAAACTAGTCCTTAATCGAAATAAATACGTGTCATAAGGACAATGTAACAAGAAAATACAACACATTCAGGAACAAGAATACATTAAAATACCAATACACTGAGTCACGATATTGAATACAATACGATACGACATTGAAGGCATCAGGTACATCGAATGTAATGCAGTGTGAATAAATATGTGTATACATACCGGGCACTGAGAGGGTAGCGTGAAAAAATACAAAAAGGCCATCAGAACGAATGATATACACAAATAGTGACATGTATAGGGATGAATTTGAGAATGATATAAGGAGGAATGCAGAGATGATCCCGTGACCCCGTTAAGTGCTATTTTATTCATAAGCAAGTCTCAGTGACAAAACACAATGATACAAATGACTTTAGGAAAGTGGTAAAGTGCTGTTTGTCTCAAGTCTTAGAATAGGGTAGTTTCCTAAATTTTATTCCAATGTCCGTCCGGTAGATTATTTTAAAACATTAGACACGTATTTTTTCTTTTCTCTCAAAATTAAATACTTTCGACGATACATTAATTTGAAATATCGTGTGACGTCACAACGTGTCATGTTTTGTAGCACGCTGTGACGTACGACCTCCCACTCCTAAACTTAGCGCCACTTTATCTAAGTATTGTAACTTTATACGAGAAAATAAAAAAATACGTGTCTAATATTTTTTCATTGTCTAACTGACGGACTAATTAGATTTTTAATTTTCATACCCTGGCAACTACCCTATTTCTATTAAAAAGCCGACTACCGATTTTATTATTAACATAATTTATGGTCGAAAATAATGAGTGCGAATGAGAACCAGTCAATGAAGTTTGATATCTTGGTCGATTTAAAACCCATAGGCAGGTTAAGGGAGGCTTGCAGAGCTTTCCCAGTATACTACCTTTACATGACCTTTATCTGTATCTTTATTTATTAAAAAAACATATCAAGCCTCACAGAAAAATGGCCGGTAATAACACTCCCGCTGTGTGTTCTGTGAATGAGGTTACCGGAGGACCAGCTAACCCCCTCTCCAATCTACGTAATCCCCGAAATTGTTGGGGAAACAATCCTCAAATTCCTAGTCCCCAAAAGGCCGGTAACGCAATTGTAACACCTCTGGTGTCTCGGTTGTCCATGGGCGTCACCAATTGCTTACCATCACTGTACCGTGCTCAATTACCAGTTTATTCCATAAAAAAATATTCTGATAATCACCTGGTACTCCCAGCCGGTAAGTCTTCTGCACGTATTTGAGCCCGTGCACGATTTCCCTCTGAACGATGAAGTCAATCCTTATCCTGTACTGCACGCCCTCTTTTATCACGAACACCTGGAATGAAACAGGAATCATGTTAATTCATTTGTTTATACTGCTTATCACATCAAGTGATTTGACAGTTAAGAAGCTGGAGAGACAATCTAGATTTCTATATGTCATTTGACTACGCTGTGGAGTGCACTGGTAAGTACTAGTACCAATCTATCTTCTAAATTCAAAGATAGAAGTACAAGGACAGATTCAATGTCTATATCCCAACGTATTACCTGTCCCGGAGATGGACCCGACCTTAAGATTGGTAGTAGTAAAAGAGAAGCTAGCAAAGTCGCAAATAATTAACTAATTAAAACTAAGACAACCTCAACAATAGACAAGCCAAACTTTCTTTTTTCTCTTCGCCTTAATGATCGTTTAACAGCACCATCAAATTACTCGGCCAATTTAATCTGACAACGGCCATCTGTTTGCAACGGCTAATACGAAACGGCTATTAAATCGAGCGTAACGATACGGAGACGTGACGACATCGAGACGCGTCAAGTAGGTCGTGGGCCGTGCACTGAACTATAGTTGTCGTTGTTGTAAATCATAGCTTGCGAGTTGCGATTCGATACAGTAGGTTGCCGTTTATTAATACATGCTAGTTATGATGGTACCAAGTAACCAATGATAGTATAAAATGAACTTAGTTTTGGTTAACTATTGGGATTTTGCTCGCATTGAGATTTATGGAGATGACTTTTTATCACCATACTTGGCATGTTACATCTTTTAAAAAAAATAAAATAACTACTACATGATTCGAGAAATGAAACCGACTTACTCAATATTTGCAATGTTATCACTCGACCAACGCGCAACGTAACATAACATAACATCACGCCTTTTATCCCCGAAGGGGTAAGCAGAGATGCACATTATGCCACTACAATGTAACACCCACTTTTCACTATTTATGTTATGAGTCCCATGTAATAGGGGGTGAGCCTTTGCCATATACCGGGCACAATTCCAGACTCCGTGCTACTACTGAGATTTTTTTTAAAAACCCGGTAATACTTTGCCCTACCCGGGAATCGAACCCGCGACCCCTTGCCTGAAAATGTGACTCAGGATATGTACAAAAATATTTCATCTAAATCAATCCAGTAGTTTTCGAGTTAAAGTTCCCACAAACATTATAACAATATAGGACGGACAAGAGGTGATTTACAGCCAATAATGGTAATCTATCGATGGATCTGACTACTTGAGATAAGAATTTGACACATTTTGCATGGAGCTTAATGCATAATGGCTATCTATAGACGCGTAATCCTGGGATAGATATTGAAAATGGCCGGTACATATACGGCTAACTGTGAATGATTTATTTAGGGCTTAAGTAGACACAACTAGTCAATCTGTTCCAATTCGTAAAATATCATTAATTAGATCAATTTTATTACAAAAGCATAAGGTTCGAAATCTATTAGAAGAGAATTTAGGGAATCTTGACATGCTTCTGTGTACGTATACTTTTATATATTAACTTCAATACCAGTACTAAACTATGAAACAATAATATTAACATAGAATCTTCTGGAGCATCAAACCAAACGATTTGTATAACAAATTCGTCCGTAATGAATGCCTGAATAATTAATGAAGATGTCAACGAATGTTCGTTATTAATGTATCAAAATATCCTGACAACTTAGTCCCATAGTTATTAGTGTTATAACAGACTTAAAACCGTTTCTATTCATCAGCAGCCCTTGACAATATGCTAGCTAAGGAGGAGGCGGTTCGTATGAGGCAGCGAAGCGCTGCCTCCTCACAACTCCAGCCACAATATTTATCTACTCTTGGCAGGCGGGATATATATCGTAGTTTAAAAGGTTCAGGGTGCTTACTCTTAAAACCAATCTCAATGTCAATGCAATTACTTACAATCCAATAAAATCTTAATAATTATTCAATGTCAAAACTATACAACCACTATCATAGCTGTTGAAATAGCATTCAAAGTACGGAATACAAAGTCAAACTCAATAGGTACCGTTTATTTCATTAAATATTCACGCAATACGGGTGCAATGGGCGTTAGTGTTGCAAGTCAAGAGTACGAAATTTTACAATACCAATGTCGATCGATCGGAATTAGAATTATAATACGTTATGTATGAATACGGTAACAAAACGAGGAAATCCCGACTTTAATTAGAAGGAAGCATGCTGTTAATGGCTTAGAGATAAAAAAATGGCGCCTGTTAACTACCATTTTCATTTGAGTCTTATAAAGCACGCGTTTAAGTCTACTTTAGTATATGCTACGATTTCATTCTGATGTACTGGCAACATCCATATTATTAATGGACAACGTCCTAATTTAATAACTATAAATGGCATAATATTGCATTTCTAATTTTAAACACATACACAAAGATTTATTATACATCCCAAGAATTAAATTTACCTAACATTCGTAAGGAAAATCAGGGCACATAAAGTTTATTTCACTTTGAACTATTCCAAATCTGTTCATTATATGGCTTTGATTCTAAACAAAACTATAAAAGACAAGAAAAAGAAAATTGTATATACAAACATCCTGTATGTGCGGTAGTTGGCATGGTGCCAAGCGGAGCGTGTAGCGATAATTGTGACTAAGCGAGTTATTGGGCACCGATCATCATGCACCTGTCATACGGATGATTAGTGAAAGGGATCTTGGAGCGAAACCGTCCGTGATCTCACTAGAAACTGCTTTGGGAAAATTTTGGTCAGTAGTCAGATCGTTTGGCCAATAATTGCTTTATTTGAGAGAAAAGTGCTTTTGTGACATCTCTGGATGGCAAGAGAAGTTAGTCCATTACGGCAAATATACCATATCATGGTGAAGATAGTCATATAAAAAATCTTGTCCAGCAACAGACCGCTTAACTCCAAACCTCTTTACAAATATTAACAAATCCAGTAGAAACAAGAAAAATATCACTGAAGTACTAGCGCAATAAGACTCCAGACAATTATTAGTATTTACTTCACAGTAGACACTTAAAACGGACACATGCCACTAAAACAACGCTTAAATAATATTGAAAATAAACTACATACATTTGTCAGTATCAAACTCATCAATGAAAATATGTCTACACATCATGAACAGCCGATAACAGACTTCTAGCACACAACGAAAGCAAATTATGAATTACTGATGAATGATGAATGATGGATAATAATCCGACTAAAACTGGATGATCCTAATAAAACAAGCTTCGAGACGTGGAATAAACAAATTTCAGTCAATATATCAGTTATCATAACAAATTCTGTGGTTTATTATACTAATATGTGGTTAGGTTTAGCATAATAGAATATAAAATATAGAATATAAGTTAGGAACATAGTTTTTACTGGTCAGTATACCAGAAGTAATGAATCTAATTGTTTGTTTGTTGTTAACTCTGAAGTCACTGTTACTAAGGGGCATTAAAATTCAGTATTTCGGAGGCCGCTTTTAATTAAGTCAAATTTACGAAGGTACAGAAGTAAATAAAAATTACATCATGTAAGCCATCTTATGCCGATCCCAATTAACCTGAAATAATGGCAGAAAGCCATTAACGCACTGTGTGGAAGAGCACGAACTTTGGCACAAATGGGACGGCTCGACCGGAGTACCCCGGTACCCCGGCCCCACATAAAACCGACGTGAAACAACGCTAGCGTTTTGTTTCGTCGTGTGAATGAGATTACCGTAGGCCCATTGTCCCCTACCCCCCTTCTCCAATCTCCCCAATCGCTGAATCCCCAACAATCCTCAAAAGGCCAGTACGCACTTGTAATGTTCCGGGTATCCCAAAACCAATACGTACTGGGTTTCTATGACTATAAATCGATTAATCAGACTACAGCCGTATCGAATACCCACAAATCAGTCAGAACCATCAACAGATGACGTCATTACACGTATCATCGCTTGCATACTACAGACGGTAGAGCTACTAGAGCAGACAGCTGAGATGAACGGCCCGTCTTATAATAAATCATACACTGGGTTATTATTTACCAAGTCTACACGATTATGTTCGGCATTAGTTAATATAGGAGTTGTGAATTATGAATAGCGAGTCTGTTCTGTAGGTAGATTTTGAGCTTCGCAATGAACTGTATGTATATGGAAAAAAAGATCTATTTAATATCTTTTACCGTAGATAAAGCGATGTAGTTTTTACCTTTAAAATGTTTGTATTAACACGTTATAGAAAACACGGGTATAATACCGTTTCGGACTTAAAAGGCGTTGCGTTTAATCCGAAATATTTCATTAAAGCATCATGAAAATCGGTGCAGTCGTTTTGGAGTTATAAATTGTTATAACAAACAAAATAACGGACATAAAAACGTTACTTAACACAGTTTCATCGCACAAATTAAGCTGAAGAGTGCCATATGTGGTATTAACAAGATTGTTTTCAACTGAATGCAGCGTGCAACGTTTTGGCGGCAAAAATAGTCTATGGTGACGAGAAAATAGAACAGTTTCGTCCATATTAGTTGTCTGATAATAATCTGTGAGAGTATAAATAGCTTTGTAGTCATTGTACGTGTTGAATTCAAGAGGTTTTGCTTTAGAAATCAGGAGGTCTATTATTTCTTGAGAAGGACTCACCCTTCCGTACTTCTCTTAGTATACTACAGGCCTATTATTGCCTTCTGGAACGATAGGCATAATTATATAGGTTCCCAAAACAGCATAGGGCTGTAGTTTGTTCTTACGTATAGAGAAATAGAAAAAACCACATTCATTTAATTAATATATAATTTGCTAGATCAGGCATCCGAACCTCATATTGATCTGGCTAATCTTATTTTTATTACATTATCAAAAATATAATATTACTAGCAGAAACGGCAAACTTCATTCCGCCTAAAATTTATTTTCTCGCCTTTTAAACCTACCATGGACTTCCACGAACATATCAAAACCTGCCTATCAAAAAAAAAATTTGCCAAAACGGTTCAGCCGTTCTCGAGCTTTAGCGAGACTAACAAACAGGAATTCATTTTACTTATATGGATTAAGTGTGGGAGAGCCATGCATCGGCACGAATGGGCCGGCTCGACCGGAGCGATACCACGGCCTCACAGAAAACCGACGTGAAGCAACGCTTGCGTTGTGTTTCGTCGTTTGAGTGAGGTTACCGGAGGCCCAATTACCCTCCCCTTCCCCAATCTCCCGAATCCCTGAATCACCACCGATCCTTAAACTCCTAATCCCCAAAAAGTCGGTAACGCACTTGTAACGCCTCTGGTGTTCTAGGTGTCCATGGGCGACGCCGATTGCTTACCATCAGGTGATCTGTCTGCTCGTTTACCGGCTTTTGCCATAAAAAAAACAAAAGATGTTCGACATTTTACACACATACTTGGGGTTCGGACCAATTAATCTAATTTATACATTTTTCCCCATCTTGATCAATCGCTTTTCATGATAATACTCATTCAACATTATTTCAGTTAAAACTACTGACTAAAGTCTGCCAGCACTGGGATTACAGTATGGTATTTTAAACTAACAATACTCGAGTGTTAACTTCACCGTGACAGGAAAAACTACTTTTTATATATTATTTCCTGAAGCGATGAGGAAAATTGTCTCATAATACACATAATACACCTATGATATCGATTTCAGTGTCGATTTATTGTAATAACAATTTTATTGTTGGCTTGAGCGAGTTGATGATTGAAATTGTTCAATGTAAATGTAAATTGAACAATTATAATTATTGGGAATTGTATTTATTTATTTGAATTTATAGAGATGCAATAGTTACATTTTATTTGATGTGTTTTATGGATTTAGGCCGATTTTTTTATGCCTAGTTAAATTTTATCAGAGGAATTAATATCACAGAAATTTGAATTATTGACAATTCTTCAATACTAAAACCTGTCAACTGTCAATTTTATTCTACGGTTAAGAATTAACTGACCTTTGAAAAATCGGCCCTTAGTTGCATTAATTGTCAATTAGCACTTCATTTGAAGTTTCGTAAATCAATTTTAAATACATCGTCTTTTAAAATTATGACATTAGTCTATTTAAATAATTCCTCAGAAGTTAGGCTCACTAATAATAACTCGACACGTTTCTTTACTAGAACTCTCATTAGAAACATCCAAAAACAGTACCTACGCTCGTAAAACCGAAGTTTTTGACGCATGATTGAACCAATTACACCATAGATAAAAAATACAAATTTTTTACCAACCATGATCATATCAGGACGTACCTGTTTTTTAAGGTCTGTTAAGTCTCCTGAGAGATCCAGCTCGACGTCATCTCGTCCGGTGACGCACAGCGCCAGTTTCTTGACGATCACTCTGCGAGGATCATTTGGATCTGCGGGACAAAATGAAAACAACCAATTAATTTTGTTACAAAACGACAGATTTCTGAAACACTGCTCTCGACTATGATGACTATGGTGTGGCTTGAAATTGTTCGAAGAGTTAGGTGAGTAAGCTGTATGTACAACATAATCCTGAGTTTTTATTATTGTCTGCCTCCTTGGACGAGTGGTCGCAAGTATTACTGGGTTTTAAAAAAATACTCAGTGGTAGCACGGAGTGTGGAATTGTGCCCGGTATATGGTAATAGGCTCACCCCCTATTACATGGGACTCATAATACAAAATAGTGAAAAGTGGGTGTTACATGGTACAGTGGCATTAAGTGCCATAATGTGCACCTCTGCCTACCCCTTCGGGGAAGAAATCTCCTCCTTTTCCGATCTTAGGGAACTATACTCTGTTTCCCTAAAAAACCAAATATCAAACTGAGCTGAAACTAAAACAAAGGGACTTTACACGAATTCTATTGAAACGTAATTTTTCCTCCTTATATCTAGACTATCAGAATTATTTAGTAATTACACAGATTAGCAAGATTACAAAATACATCAGAATCCTCAGCTTAACACAAAGATTCGCATCAAACTAGATATTTGAAGCCGATACAACACACGATGCAAGTCTCATTTAGAAACGACTAGTTGCTGAAATATTATGTGACTTTATTCTGCAACCTTATGTTAAGGGGTCGTAATAGAGTCCCGTTGCGTAAGGAAGAAAAAGAGGGACTTTAAAGTACGGACTAAATGTATTTTTTATAGACTACGTTTAATAAAGCCGGCTTAAAAGCCCTCTTTTTTGAAGTAGGTTAATTAATATAAGTACTTAAACGTTCTCCTAAGTGTAACAAACAGTTTTCTGAACACCGCATCAAAATCGGTTCAGCCAATCGCGAGAAAATCGCGCACATTCATACATACAGATTAAACCGAGAACACCCTTATTTTCTGAAGTCGTTTAAAAACCTAGGTTATACTGTTACAAACCATATTTATTAACCGTGAATTACGCAGCCCCATTCTGGTGAAAATAAATATGTAAATATTACCAGCAACAAATTATACTTTTAAATGTGGGAGAGCCATGCTTCGACACGAATGGGCCGGCTCGACCGGAGTGATACCACGGCTTCACAGAAAACCGACGTGAAGCAACGCTTCGTTGTGTTTCGTCGTGTGAGTGAGGTTACCGGAGGACAATTTCCCTCCCCTTCCCCAATCTCCCTAATTCCTGAATCCCCAACGATTCTCAAACTTCTAATCCCCAAAAGGCCGGTAACGCATGTGTAGGTAACGCCTCTGGTGTTCCAGGTGTCTATGGGCGACGCCGATTGCTTATCAGGTGATCCTTCTGCTCGTTTACCGGCTTATGCCATAAAAAAAATACTTTACTTTAAAACTTACAAGGTTGTTTTCAAAAGAATTCAAGCAACTTCAATTACTTGGATTTATTTAAAATCCAAAAGTAAGCCTGTACAAGGCAAAGGGTAATCGAAGGCCAAAAGAATTTGTTGGCGGCCATTTTAATTAGATCAAAGGTCGACTAAATGGCCCGGCTACGATTATAAGCTAATTAGAACTCTCTAGAAAGTTCGGCTCTGATTACTAATTGCGTTTCAAAATTAAAGGGAGGAAATTGTTCAAAAGTATAGTTTAAAGGTCTTTCTAATTCAAATATTTGCAGTGTCGATCATTAGACACGCGTCATGCATGAGCCCCATTGTGGCTTGAAACTGGTCGAAGATCTCCCCGAACAAATATGTAAGTTATTTGTATAGTCTAATTAATTCAAATAATGTAGTGTAAGCGTAAAATGATATACATTGAAATAGACACAGGACAATATACAATATATGTACCTCAATTTACTGTCACCGCAAAATGTGAAATAACTAACCCAATCATGTCCATATACAGATAGAATTTATCTTCAAAATAAAACCGAAATAGACTGTTTACATCCCTATTTAATTACTAAAATACAAAGACTTTTCGCCTAAACAATTTCCACCTGGCAGTATACGCATTGCAATATATTAAATCAAATCAAATCAAAAATACATGAACAGTTCCATAGCTCACGGATCTAAATTTATTTCTACGCTATCAGAATAGATCGCACTACAGACCGTATTTTTTGCTAGATTTCGTCAGTAATTACGTCAGTGATAAACGACTAGCGTATCATGAACTACGCTAAGTACTAATCATCATAGAGATATGAGGTCAACGTCTTATTGGTTATGCAGATGAGAAAGATGGCAAATAATATTTCACTACACCGTTTCGGGAGTGCTAACTTGTCTTATCTAATGATTCATATTATAGTTTTGTTCTATAAGAGAATCTACGTTTTAAAAACTTTCCTCATTGAACGACTGAGCATTTTGCTTAAACTATTGGATAGTGTCTGTATTGGAAGTATACCCTTTTAGTTACCTCTAACAACTCAAAGAGATTTAATAATCCGAAATAAAATATAATACGTTAGTCTTAGATGACTTAGATCAGTGTACGAACATAATCTGACCACGACAGCAATAAACTAGAACCACGACGCATCTACCTGATTCTACACTCCAAAAAAGCGATTGCAAGTGACACAGCTACTGTAAACCAATTTCAGAACTTAACTAGATGAATTTACGGTCGACTGAAGTATTCAATCAAGCTGATGGTGACAGATCTCCAACTGCATAGTCTGTGGAGCCACAGACCATGAATGCACAGGATAAAGTAGGCCGAACAATTAGGTCACGGTATTAGCCACAGCTGATAGTTAAAGTATAGAGGAAATTATTGTGTCAGTCAGTAATCGTTGTAGGGCTTCAGATATAAAAAGGCGTCGGGAAGTCAGTATACGCGTAGGTGGTGTGTGTGTGAGGATATCCGTGAAAGCAAAATATTGTGGTTACAATGACAATAACATCAGCTGTAGATGGATTCGTTAATTTTTGTAGTTCGAAACTTTTTGTAGTTCCACTTGGGCTGGTGGTTATTCTTGTAGTTAGCACGTATTTCGCTGTTTTTCTGCAGCAAAACGAAATACCCAAAAAGCCGCCGTGTCTAATGACTTGATTGGAAAGCTAAATAATCTCAATAAACGGTAAACACAACGTTACAATCAGATCAACTGACAATAAAAAGCATAACATAATGAGTAAGAGGGTACTCCATTACCACAGACCATGAAAATATAAAACGAATGTGCTCTTACAGATAATTCCGAGGATTTAGCAAGCTACTGGAGAACTGCTGAACAAACACATCTGCTTGAATAAAGCAACTATCTCTATATAAAAACATCGTAAATCGTGGTAGTTACATAATTAACAAGAACGGATGATATTTACTTTGTTAGATTCATCTTCCTGGCGATCATGCATGAAAAGATTGATGACCGTTGATGGAGCGAAAGAGGTATGTAGGAATTGTAGTAAATGGTGTCTCTGCCTACCCCCATGGGAACAACAGGCGTGAAGTTATGTATGTATATAGATTCTACATTTTGGAATGAGCACCTAGCTTCACCTAGCTTTACTGACGGACTGACCATTATTTATTTTGTATTTGTTGACGTTTCAAAAGTACCAAATTATGGTTAAATCGAAATAAATGCTTTGACTTTGACGTCTTCACTTCAGTTTTAGAAAAACCATACATAAAAAAGTTCCCATACAAGTTACATCCACATGTCATCCGGGGCGTTAAGAATCTGTCGAGACAGCTAATATTACAAACGCCCAAAAGAAAATAATTAAGTTATGAACTCATCAGCCAGGAGAATAGAGTTCAAAATCGAACTAAGTTTCAAATTCTGAACCGACAGTGATATCGATGACAAACATATCGATTACTGCTTCAGCGGACAGACAGTGGCACATCAATATAGAACAATCTGTCAAATTCTGTCATTGAATTGTCGACTTTATTCACAGTAGATTACAAATGAAACTGTGTTGAAGAAATTTGATATATTGGAGTACGATATACGATGCAGGTTGTTAGCGCGACAAGGTCACAGCGTGCGTGGAAGCACTAGACCTTAGCATTCACGATAAGTGTTCGTCGTATTATCGAAAATCTAGACTTTTGAATGGAATTGTGGGCAAACGAGCAGACGGATCACCTGCAGCTTGTCTACATGTAGAATAGAAAACCAAATTATATGGAATTGACGTAAATTTTGACACTTGTCAGTGTCATCCCCATACATTTAGTTTTCTACTCTCTCTGTAGACAACCTATAAAGTGGCGTTTGGCTAAAGGCACTGATGCGATGCTGTAAGCGATCAGCGTCGCCCATGGACATCCACAACAAGAAAGGAGTCGTTTGTTGCCTTTTAAAAATGAGTACGCTCTTTCTTGAAGGATCTAGAAGTCTTCGGATGGATTCTTAAAATATAGTGACAATATTTTCTTACAAGTATTTGTGATATGATTATATCGCTATGTAAGTTGTTGCATTATGTCATCGCTTCTGTTTTTCAACGAAAGAGTAGGTGTAAATGCGCAGCTAAATAGGTACATCTGTTTTCTACCAGATTGTTAGCAACTAGTCTCACATAAAAGTTTCTATTGAAGTAGATAAATCCGACATCTCAATATGGACTACTATACCCTAGCTGAGCTGAACTTTATTCTACACTAGCTATTTCCGCGCGGTTTCACTCGCTCTGCTCGGCGCCTATTAATCGTAGCGTGATATTTTATAGCCTATAGCCTTCCTCGATAAATGGGCAGCACAGAAAGCCAACACAGAACGAATTTTTCAAATCTTAGTAGTAGTTTCGGAGATTAGCGCGTTTAAACAAACAAACAAAAAAAAAACTTTACAGCTGTATAATATTAGTATAGATTAATTAGCTACTTTCACATGGTTTCGCCTGCGCTGCTCAGCTCCTATTCATCACAACAATCACGCTGATTTATTCAGTCATTTGATTTAGTTTAGACGCAGGTGCTGATATAATCGTGATCTTCGGATCTAGCCCAACTTATTGGTTTTTATTCCAAATTCCTGATCTAAACAGGGTCGACATAGCCTTTTACTAGGGCAACCGCGCGACTGAGTAGTCCAGGACATTAAAGTGTGTTTAATTATAACTTTTTAAATAAACTCTTGTGATTCAAACGTGGTTTTTACTTATAACTGCCGATTCACTCAGAATAACATTTCAGAATCTGATCGAAGATCAAAGACTATCCTTTATAAGCTAAAAAACTGACGTTTTTTGACCTTTTTCAATAAACGCACTATCCAACACAAAAATGATTATTGAAATCCGACAGTTAGTCCGGCGATTAGCGCGTAGAAATGAGACATATTAAATTAACTAAAAATCGCATGTTATCTGTAGTTCGAAACTAGTAGAGGTTTTCTCAGTATATTCACGTGAGTACGCCACGATTTTTAGTTACAACAAATTCTTCAGCTTTACATAATACCTATAGGGATCAATCCTAATGTTTTGATGGCCAGCGGTATGATTGCGTGATTATATTTTAAAGAAGAATCATTTTTGACATACCAAACTTTTCATACAATGGCATGGAAAGAAAAAGAAAGAAAAACTTTATTTCGCACGCTAAAACAGGTGACACATACAGATTTTACAAACAAGTTTACTAATATCTACTAATGTCCCAAGTCTGCGATGAAATGGGACCAGTTCAACATGTGCAAGACAGGGCCTCGCGCTGGTATTCTACTGGCCTATTAAGTGACTAGCGGAGGAACAAGTCACCAATCAGACAACAGTATGGCAATGTTTCACCTACTTACGCACATACGCACGTAGTAGGCAGTTAACTAATCTAATTGAGATTGGCCGCTGATAAAATCGATCGGAAGATACATGTAATGAAGGCGTAAGTAGTACCATGAGCCCCATTTTTTACCTGATAGGACGTTTCATGGGAAATAGGAACAAACATAAATAACGGTTTACGCAACCGAGGAAAACATGGTCATTACTAAAGATTTCACATAGCATTTGTTTGTCAACGTAAAATTAGATTAGATAAGCTACATATCTGTATGTAGCTAGTATTGATATGATATTGATAAACCATTCTAGAAAGCGTGATAACATTCTTTGGAGGACGGCAATTATTTCGTGTTTGTCAAAATAGGAATGGCTAAAGGAGGAAATATAATTCATTAATCTTAAGACTAGTCTCGGTTTGATCTACGAATCCGAGAGAATAGGACAAAGTATGCGTTCGGCGCTCTGATTGGTTGCTTCATTGGCGCCGGCCAATCAGAGTGCCGAACGCGGTCTCGTTTCAAATACTTTATACGTAAATTAAACTCGTATTAAGGCCTCAGGTTTACAAGAGAAGGCGGCTTTTTGATCTCTGTCAAAGGTGTCATAGCGCGATTTTCTCCCGGGCCCATTGCGGTTGCAGTATTATGCTGCCATCACAAAACGGTTCTATTTCCTGACCTTTATGAACTATGCTTTTTTAAGGAGGGGAAATCATTTTTTTATGGAATAGGAGGCAAACGAGCAGAGGGATCACCTGATGGTAAGCGATCAGCGCCGCCCACGGACACCCGCAACACCAGAGAAGTCACAGGTGCGTTGCCGGCCTTGATTCATCCAATGAATTCTCCTTGGGTGAGGCGTGAGGGTGTCAGACTATTAGGGACTGACTAAAAACCACCCCGTTAGTACTCCTGCGTTAACCCGGAGCTACGACAACTCTTTAAGTCCTCTGCGGCTCCGCATCGGGCATCAACCCTACTGGGTCCTATCTGTAGTGGTTCCAACTATGCTGTTGTCATCAATCAATCTCCACCCCCATTCTTCTTTCAAGATTTTAGGCATCTGAATAGCCATGACGAGTGTCACGTTAATTATTAATCTTTACTAATATTATAAATTGAAAAGTGAGTTTGTTTGTTCCGCTTTCACGCCGTAACTACTAAACCGATTGCTTTGAATTTTTGCAGACGTAAAGTTAGAAGTACGGATTAAATAATAGGGTTTTTATCCCGGAAAAAATTGATATAACCATAATATTTGTATTGGTATAGATGGCGCTGTGTGTATTGCTATGTCACATAGGCGCGAGCGAAGCCGCGGGTACGTACGGTACGCGGCTAGTACTAAATAAAAAAGAATGCACATATCTACACGAATTATGACGATATTGATGAAGATACTAAAAGAATGACTAATGGTTCCTATCAAATATCTTGAGCATGATTGTCATGCCACATTTGAGACTTGATAATGAATCTATCGACTGTTTAAGGCACATGTATAGCACACAAGGCTTCGTTATACAACTACGTACTTGATATTCGCGAACCATATCGTTCATGTTGTTGCATCGTTGTAGAACTCAATAAATTAACCGCACATTTGGCTATTAGAGATCGATTTCAGTACATCTTGTATGGAGCTTACATCGATTTTCTGTCTGTAATACCTAGGCGTAGTAATACACTGTTAGATAGGTTATTGGGACTTTAAGACTGGTCGAAAAGTCAAAGTCAAAGCATTTATTTCAATTAAACCATAATTTGGTACTTTTGGAACGTCAACAAATACAAAATAAATAATAGTCTGTCAGTCAGTCAGTCAGCGAATCTAAGTTAGCTCATTCCAAAATATAGATTCGAATGGAGAAGAATGATCAAGAAACTCCATTCGTTACCCTTTAAAAAAAAGTACGTTCTACAATGTCTCTGATACATATTCCAATTCTGTACGTATATGTGAGAACAATTTAAAGACACAAAACTTACTAAAATAAAAAAAAAACAAAACAAAAAAAAAATCTTTAGTCTAACATGGTCCGAAAATTAATAAACAAACAGTTAATGAGTACAATTTCACTGTAGCACCAATTTAGAAAACTTTTTTGCTCAATTTTAGCTAGGCAGGACCCCAGGACAGTTTCAAAATATGAAAGAAAGAAAAATAGCACCGATGTGGATAGCAGAGCCGTGAATAAAAAATCCGACGAACTGAGAAAATACAAAAGGGAGGGTTTGTGTAGATTGGGTCTTATTGCTTGAGAGCGATCTCTACCAGACAACCTTTGGACTGACAGGGTTTACCTTTGTAGCTGATAATTCAACTTCAGATAGTTAACTCGTCGAGTACCGGTTTTATAGACACAATTAAAGAACAATAGGTCGCGGTCACCGGTGACCGCTTGGTGTTTGACAGATTAAATATTGTATTTACATGGATCAGTTGAAGTAGACACATAGTTCATCTATTACAGCATAAAATCACTTCTGTTATTCACCGAAAAGTAGTTTTTATATTTTTACAGTTACCACTTTTCGTCTAGTTTATTTGTCAATAAGGTATTGATCAAGAGGTCGTTAGCAAGAGGACGACTTCAACACCCAAGCCAGAAATTATTGGATTTTTAGACCGCCAAAATTCCGTAAAATCACGAAACCAAATCTATCTAATATTTTGCGTCCTTTATTCGAAAAAAATAAACAAAAAAAGTTTATTTTCTCTCTTTGTAAAATCACATTTGACATCTCTATCTATAAAATTACACGGGCCAGTGGAATTAAATCTAGTTAAGATTAAATAAATGAAGTTCATAAAGAATGACCTTAACCAATGACATTGTCGGTAAAGCCAAGGTTAGGGAGCACAGTGAGGATCGTCACTACGAGTTTCAGGTCACGTAGTTAATTTTCAACCGTATTGTAGTTAAGATAGAGTTTAAGTTGGTTCTGCTTATAAGGATAGACGTCGTCGTCGTCTTTAGCGGTTTACTTTTTGTTAGAGGTTTTTTCAGTTATTTTATGTGGGAGGCAACCCTATGAGGCGACACATGTGTTGTTATCCAATAGATGGTTATAGCGGATTACTACTAGTCATAAAAATCACATTAAATAAAGTTCAACATAAACATAACACACCATCTAATTTAAAGGGTCATATTATCCTACAGTGCATACAGAAAAACATTGTAAACTATTCACAACATACAAAAAAAACGTACTTATCTCAGTACAAACAAAATTTTGGTGAGTGACATGTTATCATAACAATCTCTGAAATAGCTTGACCGGTTTTAATACTGTTTATTATGTACCCTTGACAAACCAAGCCATAGGATGGTTAGTGAATATCCTTATGAATGGATTAACTAAGTTTGATAGGCAGATAAATTATCTAGAATAATTAATATACTCTGTGCCTTTAGCCAAATGCCACTTTAGGGCTTGTCTACAAGGAGAGTAGACAACTAAATGTATGGGGATGATACTGACAAGTGTCTAAATTTCAATCAATTCCATATAATTTGAATTTCTATTCTACATGTAGACAAAATGGCATGTGGCTATAGCTGCTAGTTTAGTGAAACCATGAAGTTTATGAGTAAAAACATCTATCTAAGGGGTCCTCAAGTAAACAGAGTGACTTACCAACAATAACAGCACCAGCTTGAGCTTCTCCAAGGAGAGCCTCCTTGTACTTCCTTAAGGACTCATCCTCTTGGTCAGCAGCCAAGATCTCATCAATCGTCTTTTCTGGCGGAGGTTTGTATGAGGACTTGATTTCTTCTTCTTCCTCCTCCTCAGGAGTGCGAGTTACTTCAGGTTCTCCAGACATGATTTAAGTCTAAAAATAAAACAAAGTTTGAAAAATTGGCATACAAACGAACTAATTGGCTGTTGTCCAGCAATCTGATTAAGAACATGTGTTACTGATTATAATGATAATGAGTAAATTAATTGATAATCTAGCTTTGTGTTGTTCGTAGGTGGTGATTAACTACTCTATATTATGTATTGTCCTAACTCCTACATGACAAAGAACATTGTCTGAATAATTTGATGATGAAATTAAGTTAGATATAGGATCATCATATTTATAAGGGTAAATGTAATAGAAGCTGAGAAAGTAAATAGATAGTGTGACAGAGAAACTACAAGATGTCTTAACTTGAGCACATAAGCGAAACAATGAATGAAACTTAAGTAATTAAACAGACTGCATACTTTGACGTTGACTTTGAAAATCGAAACGAATATGTTCAGAGCTCTGAATGACCTATTGAACCAACCAATCAAAGTGCTCAACGTGGTTAATTTTAACGTAAAAAAACCCCAAACTAAAGGCTCAGATACTATGGGATTTTCAGTGAACTAACTGCTATGATAATTCCGTTCTCATGAAGGAAGTTAAAGATTTTAGATTGAATATGATATGTCTCAAAACTAAACATTAAACAAGACAGGTAAACAGATAATATATGTAAACTAATATGAATCAGAATATTATTATGATTAGCTTGACAGACAGCAACTCTTGAACTATGTACTTTAGCTGGACATATCAGTGTGACATATTTGGATCACAATGGAAAATGAGTAATTCCTATTAGATATTATGATTGTGAATACTTATAGGTATGCATAGATGGTTTCTATGGCATAATAATTATGACTAATGGTTTATGATACTGACTGGAAATAAATAGGTATTTTATAATATCATTTGTCCTATTGGAATTTATAACTGTTGTTTTGTTTACATACAGAATATGTCTTTTATTTACTAAAAGTGTATGTACAGATGCTAATATGAAATGGAACATTGCCTTTTTCCCAAGTTTGTAACAAATGACCCAGTAATTAGGTGTGTTTTGTCTATGTTTTTATTTAATAATTTGTGTGAGAAGTTGTGTGATGTACTTGTAGTTTTGATTAGGTATTTATTTATTTTACACTTTATTGTACACCATAAAAACATACATAAAAAAAAAGGTAGGTAACTATTTATTAATTAGTAGTTAAATGGAAATAGTTATTAATGAAGTGGAAATGTTTGGAAATAGATAATGACTTTGGTCATTAAGTATAGCCAGTATCATTAATTATTATATAATTAATCAGTCTTTAAAAAGATTCATAATGATATAGATGGTTGTTATAACTTGTAGATTTTAGATTGTATACTACTTCTAGATTAATTAGGTATTCCTTCAATTTTTACTCTAAAGTTAGAGGTGTGTTGGTATTATGAATGTGGACAGAGGAGGTCAATTATTATGCTCATAAAGTCCCAATAAAAAGTACATGGTATGTCATCTAATAAGACAGCAAAATGAATGTGAACTGGAAGCATTTAGCCATTAACAGACCCATGGAGCTTGTGCTAAACCATGTGTTGTAATCAATAAGAAATCAAATGCAAATACGGCTTGGGGTAAAGTGTCACATGCGCCGTTGTCGGCAACACGGAGCTACCTATGAATCATACACCCCCCCATAACCTATGCGTTTTATAAATAACGCTTACATTTCCCATAAAACATAAAAAATTAACACAAGAATATTATCTACGAAACCGGATTTACGCGATACGCACAGATAAAGTATATTACAAAACCGCTTCCCTTGAAACTACGAAATACGTAAGCTTCTCAGTGGAACCGCCCAAAAAAACTAAAATTCATAAACTTATTGCACACAAAGTCCGTAAATTAAATTGAAGTTGTTTAAAAATAAACTATCACTGCCACACGTAATGACTCCCTACATCCCACAATAACAGAATTAAGCGGCTTCGTCACTGCAACTCACTCAATAAAGCGACATACGCAGCCTTATCACGACATTCACATTAAAACTTCGATATAACTTACGTTTCAATATAAATTATTGCTGCGACAAAATGAAATCAATAACTTGCAATTGCACAGGTGAAATAAGCACTAATTAGCACCAAAGAAAGATAAACAACTTACGAAAATTAGCGTTTTGTAAAGTCTATAGATCAAAAATGACGGACAAAACGATTCCGGGCGGTCATCGAACTCTCAAATTAATTTATTCTTCGAAATGGCCGGACGACATTTGCAACTCTAGAACATCACAATTATTTCTATCTCGCTTTTCCCAACGATCTCTTCTTCTATTCTAGTAAAACAAACAGAGATAGCAATATATCGCAGAAAAGTTTTGTGGTGTTACCACACTAAAAAGTTTTGTCTATGACATTATTGTCTATGAAACTTCCGGTAAACTTATTCCACAGACTTTTTCTATTGGCGATGCAAAGATTATCCGCGCGCCTCTAGCGGCGAAATTTAGAAGTGGTCTTAGAACGACACTGCTTTCGAGTTGAGGTTAATAAGTTACAACATAATCAAATTGATCACGATTACATACAGAAACCTGCAGTTGTAGCTAGAATGCCATCTAGCGCTTGTCTACATGTAGAATAGAAAACCAAACTATATGGAATTGACATAAATATTGACATTTGTCAGTGTCACCCCATACATTTAGTATTCTACTCTCTCTATAGACAAGCGCTAAAGTGGCGTTTGGTTAGTGGCACTGTTTTTAATTACTTGAGTACCATGTTAGACTACAAGATTTTTTTTTGTTTTTTATTTTAATAAGTTTTGTAAATAAAAGTAGAAACACAAAATATTGTTTCGTTCCTCAATGTAATACTTTCGGAGATTTTGTTTCACAATAATAAATAAATAAAATAAATAAATATCGTGAGACATACTAAATTAACTGAAACTCAGTGAGCTGTGCGACATTACCGCGACTCATGAGGAAAAACCTCTCTGGTTCGATACTAGTAGAGCTTTTCTCAGTATATTCACGTGAGTGATCCGCGTTTTTAGTTAACTTACGGAGATTCAGGAATGAGTTTTCATTTTTTTCCAAAAGAGCAAATTATGAATGTTTTTTCCTGTATGTAAAGAGAAAAGATCAGCTGTAAAGCAATTAACCCTCTAAGATTTACTCAGCAGTGATATGTTTTTATTTACTTTTACGGGTATTCATTCCATTGAACTTTTAGAAACATTGGTGACTTGTGTTAGTGAATTGGCCTTAAATGCTCCAACAAACAAAAACATGTATCTGTGAGAGAGTTATTTTGACAATGGTAAAAATTTAACAAAATAGGTAGGTATGTCATTTAGAGCCATTGGTCTTTGGTTTGGTATAAATAGCCAGACATCTTCTAAATGTTAATAATATATGTGCCTCATGCTGAGTAAAGTACTCAGATTTGTAATTTCTTGGCCTGATACCGAAATGAAACGTAGTAACTTACCTAAATCATTCCAAAACTTATTATAGTTTATTACACAAGAATATTATTAGACTGTGCTGAAACTGTGATTGAAAAATGTAAATGTTTAAAATGTAGAATATTGACGTACTCTCAATATAAATAAACAATAAAGCGAAGTTTAATATTGGAATAACTCCTTCTGACCTAATAACTGAAATAAGTGAGTGCATCTTATGGTCATCATGAGTACCGTCATTATAGACACAATTAAAGAACAATAGGTTGCGGTCAGCGGTGACCGCTCGGTGTTTGACAGTTTAAACATAATATTGTAAATGAATCAGGAATCTTAAATATATGCCAGTTTAATGATGAAGTGATGGTGTAAGTGATAAAGGATATATTAGATATATTTTAGGATTGAATTTGAGTGTAATGAAGTGAGTTAAGGATTAATATATAATATTTGATTAATTTTGAAAACTTAAATATTTATATACAAGAAACTACATAAATCTGTTATATATTGAATAATTTTTTTTTCTGTGACGTAAACTATATACGAAAACTGTCAGTGTCGTTCTTACACAACTTCACAATTTTGACACTAGAGGCGCTAGTTAGAATCTTTGCATCGCCATTTATGATGCGTTTACTGTTTTATCTTTTTTATTGCCTACCTGCCTACCTACCTTTTTTATGGAATAGCAGTCAAACGATGGTAAGCAACACTAGACGAGTAACAGGTGCGTTGCCGGTCTTTTAAAAAGGAATACGCTCTTTTCTTGAAGGTTTGCAGGTCGCATCGGTTCAGAAATACCGCCGACGATAGATCATTCCACAGTTATATTTTATACTGTGGTTTTGCTGTGTGAGGCAGAAGGCTACGTGAGAATCGCACTGTTGTTGTCTGCCAACCATCTTTATGATTGTAATGCATATATGCTGTCGTGAGAGTCAATGGCGAAACGATGCGGCAGGTATCAGGTCAAACAATGCCTATCTAATATAAATTACAATCTAAACAGCCCTCTTGACACCGAAAGTACCTAGGCAATATTATTATGGCCGATAAATTGATGAAACAAGTACCTATCATATTGCTATACATAAAAGATTAGGTTAATTCAATCATTAAGTTACCTATTAATTTGGCTAGATTAATCCTGAAAAATAAATCTAGGAAAAATAATCAACTGTCTGAATAATGACCTGAAAATAAAATATTTTTTTTTGTATTGGTTATCATTAATGTCAATGTCACCTTGCAGGCAAACAAATGTCAAACCCTAGAAGCAACTGTCATTATTCAATGTTATTATTGTCGTATGATACGGAAGAGAAAAACACTTACAATATCCAAATATGATGCTTACAAACAATCATTATCTCTTTCTTTACAAACTACATTCATTATATAAGCGTAAAGTGTGACAGAAAGAGTAACCCCAAGCTAGTTCATGATATAACCTATTCTTTGCATTTAATGAAAAAAAAAGCAATAAATTTGTTACATTCTGAGAACTAACATGTGCATAAGATGATGAATATTGGCCATAAACTTTGCTATATACACGCTAAAATGATTGTAAGTATAATTTTTCTGTGTTAAGTCCTTTATTTGACCTCATGCATGAACAATATGTTTTTTCTATTTATTTGCAGAAATCGAACATTTTACGCCTTCCAGTGCTAGTTAGAAATCAGAAATATATTATTAGAACTTGTACCACTACGTCACAGACTACTGATGATGAAAAAGCGCGCGAATTGGAAAGAATAGCCAAAGAAGTAAGTATCTCTTTTAAAAAAGGAACTACCTATGCAGTTCACTAATAATCCATAGACCATGCCAAGACGTTGGTGTACTTACGGATGGTTTTTTTTTAATATGTTTGTTTAAGGAATTTTTTCAAGTATATTTTCATAATAATGTTCAACTAATATTTTTACATTGTTATTCCAGGCTTCAATAGACGAACCTCCAACGAGTTGTTGCCAGTCTGGGTGCGCTAACTGTGTATACATTGTATGGGCAGAGGCCCTATCAGCCAAAATACAAAATGTTGGCCCGGAAGTCAGTGACAAAATACTAGAAATGGTACAAGATCCATCTATGAAAGCATACCTTGAAATGGAATTGAGGATAAGAGGGTTAAAGAAATGAATTTGTTGATCTTTAAATGTAAAAAGTGTAAATTTCATGTTGTAGTGATCAATATAAGCCCTTATTATGTATTTCGGCGTAGTCATGTAATTATTGATGAGGAACTGGACTAGTTGCAAGCCATGCTAGAGGCTCATATTCATGAGTATTCCGCGACCAGCGATGCAACCCCTGTCGCGTAGCTACTCTCGTCAAATAATTACGTGAATAAGCCGAGAAACATGATGATTAACTTAAACTGTCAAACACCAAGCGGTCTCCGGTGACCGCAACCTATTGTTCTTTAATTGTGTCTATAAATACGGTACTCGACGAGTTAATATGTCTCACAAAAGGTATAATATAAATATAAACCCTGTTTAGAAACATGCTCTATGACCCATTCAATTTAGTCAATGTTCCATGGTGCTTGGCACCTCTTGTGCCTCCAGTCGTGCCATCAATGGTGTAAATTATTCTGTCTCCTGCATTACAAATAATTTAAGGAAAGAAAAACAAAACTAAACTATTTCTGTTCCTCTTCTCTAACAATATCTTCTGATTTAGTTCATTGTGGTATCCAAGACAGTTGTTCATGCTTCTGTGATACCTTACTTCCTTGTTTCGGTATTTTCAAACTTGGTATTTACTGTAGATCCTGGGCTTACAGGAGTTGCAGTGGTTTGGATAGTTGAGGCAAGCTTGTTCCATAAAAACATGTCATAGAGATAGTTACATACATACATAACTTCACGCCTGTCTCCCATGGGGGTAGGCAGAGACTATGGAACGCCAATTACTACATAATAATAATTATCAGGACAAACAGAGTGCCAAGCACGAATAACTATCGCATTCGTAACGTAATAGTATCGAGCGCGTTCGACGCTCTGATTGGCCGGCTCAAGTTAACCAACCAATCGGAACGCTTAACTCCCTCGATACTGTTACGATACGAATGCGATAGTTATTCGTGTTTGGCCTTCAGAACCTACTTTAATAAACCTTTATTTTTCTTTCACTTCTGGACACTTAACGATGTCTGTATATGCTATGTTAGTAAAAATTGTTTTGCATTGTTATTTTTTAAGTACCTATGTAATTTGTTATTTAGTTTATAACATCTATGTTAGATACTAAGTTCATATTATAATTTGAAAATCATTTTATTTTTCGAACACTTTAAATGGAATATATATTTCAAATTTGGAACTTGTCTGCTCAATTTTAAAGTGATTGGTCAAAGAGTTTCTTACTACATTAGCGCCATCTATTGAAAAAAACGGTAACCCCCAGAGTTTCAATAATAACACAACAGTTTTGTTGACATTAAATAAGGAATTCAAGTTGCTGTACATAACCTAAAATATTTTAAATGATTTTTTTAATGTAGTCTACATTGTGATATGTGATTGTGATAAAACAATTTCTTTATGTTTTATTTTTGTTTATTTATTTCTCACTAGTGTACCTACATGTAGATATTATATATTATACATAGTTATATTTACCTACTGCTAAATAAATGATTATATCTCAAGAAATAAATGTTTCTCTCATAAGGAAAACTATGTCACATTATTGCCAGTTCAGGACTATTAGCATTTAGCAGCCACTCTTAGATTGGACTCGGAACCTCGTCGCTACAAGTAATAAAGACCTACAGTACATCTACTTACGTAGGTGCTTACATCCTGTTTATTTTAAAATAACAGAGGGTAGTTGGATGCCGTCTAAACCTTAATTTAAATGTTAATTATTTACCTCACTCAATTTACATGTTGAGTGAATGAAAACTGAAGCCATTCAACATTTTTGGGATCTAACCTAGGTTAAGTTAATATTATTAGGTAGGTACGGGTTACCAGGGCTCTGGCTCGAAGCGCAGGAGAAGGAACGGGGTGGTTTTTAGTCAGTAAGAGACTGACACTCCCTCCCTCCCGCCTTACCCAGGCTGGAGCAGCAATTGGATGATTTCCCCCCTTAAAAAAAAATTGGTAGGTAGAAACCTACTTTGTCGAACTTAATATAACTGATTATGTACCTGACATTTTAATGATATAAAAAAATAAACCACACTGTCTGAGCCGAACCCGCTATGTCATCCTCAGCTCTGAATTGGGCATCGGTATTAGTGACGGCTCCTTGCCCGGAATGCCCCGGAAACCGATGCGCCTTACGCACACTGTCCTGACAGGGAACTGATACCGAATGTCCTTGTTTGGCAATCGCACTACTACGTACTTAGATAATTTTTTTTTAAACATTGCCCAACTCTAGCATATTTTCCTGTATCTCGGGTGCGTTTACAAACATACAAATTCACATACACATGACACCCAGACCCGAAACAACAATTTGTGGATCGCACAAAGAGTTCTCCGTGCGGGAATCGAGCCCTCGACGTGTTGCGTGGCAGCCGGTTGCCCAGCCACCGCACTAACCGGTAACATTGATCCACGATTTAAGATACAGAAGACTGGTGTGAGAGAAACTTTAACTTTATAGCTATTCTCTATTTAATTAGTACATCCACGTGTCGAGAACTCTGTTGTTAGTCAAGTAGGTATTATAGATGTTTTATATAAGATGAATTTAGCACCAAAATGAATATCGAACACATGTTTATTTAGACTCCATTATCTTAGTTAGAATTTAGTATTAAGAACTAGTTGAATTAGGCGGTACAAAACTTCGTTCCGCCTAAAAATCCTTTTAAACCTGCCCTGGACTTCCACGAACATTTCAAGACCAAAATTAGCCAAATCGGTTCAGCCGTTCTCAAGTTTTAGCGAGACTAACGAACGGGAATTCATTTTTTTATTTATATAGATTATACTGATACAAGTTCAGCTCAGTTTCATTGTTTCGTTTTTTTTTAAACACACGTACCCATGAGTATTTAATCCTGTCCTGAGTATGATTAAGAAACAATCATAATAATTTCACACAGGTAGGTAAAAAACAATAGATATCCCTATTTTACCTATGTACCTATCAGAATCAAACTCAAAACGCCCATGGACAGCAGTGACACTTATAGACCACTTACTCCATCAACAAACTACTACAAAAAGCCTACTTTCTTAAAATAACGTCAAAATATTATCTTTTTCGCTGTTTACTCTTTAAAACCCTTTTACATCTGACTGCTTACTTACAAATTACTAAGTTAAAGTTACAGAATCTAAGTGACAACTTAAGTCACCCGTTTAACTTTGAACTAGATATTTATAAGTTGTCGTTGTGCCTGAATAAATTAAGCCGCTTAGTGCGCCCTCTAGCCTACAGAGGTCAGAAGACTGAACTTTGTTGACAGTAGTAGGTACATTATCTGTGTATATATTTCCAAGTAATGGATTTTTCACTTAATGTGACAGTTTTAAGGTCGAAATTCTAATAAAAAAGTATAGCTATAATTTGATGTGTTTGTTATCGTAGGTATTACTTATGGCAGTTACTGTGTGATAATATCAACAAATATAGGTAACTATACCTATACGAGAATAAGTTTGTACTTATGTTTTTGATGAATTTTAAACGTAACTATTGTAGGTAAGGTATATAGGCTAATGATGTCAAAGAGCCATCAGATCACCACGGATCCCCATCCGTGGTGATGCCGATTCGGAGTCGCGGAGAACCTAACGAGTACCGGCTCGAAGCGCAGGAAAAGGAACGAGGTGGATTTTAGCCAGTAAGAGTCTGACACTCTCTCCCGCCTCACCCAGGCGGGAGCACTCATTCGATGATTTTCCCCCTTTAAAAGGCTAATAATGTATTGCTACCTACAGGTAATTTTCTCGAATAATAATTGGGAATCGAAAAAACAATTAAGTTCTTTTATCTATTTCCTTTTATTTTGTAATATTAACAAAAGGCAGGAAATATAGGGAATATCCTGAAATAGAAAGAAATTAAATATGGTTTCATAAAATTACGGAAATTACTTACATAATTTTAACATTTAATAAAAACAAAACATCTTGTACTTAGGTAAGTACCTATAAGTTACTACTAACAAAAATGAATATTAAAAACATGAGTACAGGTACATCGGTACTTCCCTGTGCTATTTATATCTAATAATATGAATAAGAAAGTTTATATTTTTCTTTATTGGTTATTCCTTCCCTAAATATCTTCCTAATATTCTAAATGCGAAAGTAAGTTTGTATGGTATAGTAACATTGTTATGTTAACATCACGCCTTTTATCCCCGAAGGGGTAGGCAGAGGTGCACATTACGGCAATTAATAACGGTCGGTTTGTGCTTGTCGTATTTACATAAAGTTGTCTAACAGAGCCTCTGCGTACTAGTTGGCTTCGGCCCCTCGTATGCCTCTCAAATGACCGGGACCCTGTGGTCCCGTGAATGGTGATGATATACAAAATAATGATAATATTACCGTGATTAATAATCGTCTAATATTTATTAATTAAGTCAATACCTATTTAAGTAAAATATTATACCAGTAATGTAACTACAGAGTAACAAGTTGATAAAATGACCCGGGCCCCTCCCGGCTTAGGGGCCCGGAGTCCATTTCAGAAATTCTCAATGAGGAGCTTATTAATTCGTTTTGCTACGGGCCCCGAATAAAAGTTACGCCACTATCTTATACTATACCTACGTGATGTCATTTAACGTTGATTATTTGATAATGAAAGTGAAAAACCACAAGCGTTATATAAAAAAGTCTTTATTATATTTAACAGTCAACAGCAATATACACTTTAAGTACATTTATATATATAATAGTCCATGTAGATTTATAAATATAATTTAACTTAAAGATAAAACTTACAGTTAATAACTTATCTAACAATCTTTGGTGACATTTCTATTACTTGAAAATTTCTTTATTATGGTTGCACATAGGTTTAAGATAGGACAAGCTATTTTGAGCAACAAAATGATATTTATCGAAATCAATACATACCTAGACCTAGGTAATTCGTAGCCATAGTATACAACTTTGTTTTTTATATTATAAGCCGGTAAACGAGTAGACGGATCA